ACCAAAATAGCTCTTATTAGTTTCTTCAGGTTTTAGTTGACTCAGTTGTGTATCTATCACTTCTACACATAATCAAGACACAATATCTGGGTTTTTTTTGCTACTTACATGAAAAGTTTTACTTAAACATACGCATTAAATGTTTATTTTTAAAAAATCACTTTTCATGAAATAAGATTACATGAAATTGCAGCCATCCTAGAAACCCAAAATGTAGCCTTGTAGTCCTGCATTGAACCACATTCTTTTCCACAGGGTACTCAGTTTTGCTTTTCTCAAAACTACCCAGAAGTGTGCTGAATGAGCCATTCGGTCACTTCTCACTTGATTTAAATAGACAAATGGAAAAATTTAGCGGCCAATTAAGAATTGTGATTACTGTGGAAGACCAAGAAACATACCAGGAACTTGCTCATGTATGAACAGCGGTCTCTTATTTAACCCCTCTTATTTAACCCCAGAGATAGGGTTAAATAAGAGACATAGGCAGGGGGTGCCTGGGTGGCTCAGTGGGTTAAGCCTCTGCCTTCAGCTCAGGTCATGATCACAGGGTCCTGGGATCGAGCCCCGCATCGGGCTCTCTGCTCAGCAGGGAGCCTGCCTCCCCCTCTCTCTGCCTGCCTCTCTGCCTACTTGTGATCTCTGTCTGTCAAATAAATAAATAAAATCTTAAAAAAAAAGAGACATAGGCAGGATGATTTTTTAAAGTAGAACAGGGCTCACCTGGATATATTCAAAACACAAAAGCATGTTCTTCTGTGTATGAGCAGGTTCCTTTTTCCACAGATAAGCCCAAGTTTCCTATTTTCAAAGATCAGGATAATAGTATCTACTAATTATTAATTCATGGGGAATTTATCGTGCATCTGATTTGGGTTCTGTGTTATGGGAAAGACAGAAAGCCCATCTCTAGTAATGAGTAGGGATAGGGACTGAGGAGAAGCTGGCATATGACAGAAGCTGAATAAATGTTATTACTACACATTATTATTTACTATTAATCTCTAGAAGGCTAAAAGTCTAGTGCTCCATTGTCCCCCTAAGGCCTAGCATGGCAAATATAAATGTCTAATAGATATCTGTGAAGTGTTTGTTGACTGACTGATGTGTTTTACAAAAACATCAGTTGTTAGAAAATATTTTGACTCAATTCTAAACTGCTTGCTTAAAAGCAATTCTTCGAAGATGCATTTGTTAAAGCCAAGAATACTCCTCTTTTGAAATCAGAATGAGTTTCTCAATTGCTCTTTTTATACAAGTTAGTAAAAAAAAAAGTTTCTAAAAAATCAGATCTTTAAGTTGGCACAGGAAAATGCTGTAAGAATATTCATTCTTTCACTCATTTGCCAATACCGAGCATCTTCTACATGCAAGACACAAAACAAATGGCCACTAGAGTTTACAGAAATTAAATATCCAAAGAAATAAATAGGAAATTACAAATAGAGGTAAGTGCCTCATGGCTATGGAAGAAAATTAGAAGGGTGATAAGGAGAATGGTGCTGCTGGGGAAGAGAGACCAAGGAGGCCTAAAGGATGAGTAGTTTGCCCTGGCAAGGTATAGGGGAAGTGCTTGGGATAGTCAACAGACATGAGGTCAATGTTAACAGCAATAAGAGGGGATGCCCAAGATAAGGCTGGCTAAGTATATCCAAGGCTCAGACCATCTCTGGACCCCATCCCAAGTATGTGAATGCATTTTATGCAAGGAACTGACACGATCCTATCTGTTCTCGAAGAATGATTGGAGGGGCCAAGCAAGGAGCCAGGGGTCTTCCTAGAAAGTTATGCTAGTGATCCAGGAGAGAGATGATGACTTGAGGTTTGATGGTGTGGTGGTGGGGATGGAAAGAAGAATCTATCTAGAGATATATGTAGGAAACAAAATTTATGTAACTTTGTGATGATTTGGGATTTGGAGGGCACGGGATGAAGGTGTCAAAGACAATTCTCGAGTCTGGCTAAAGAAACACCATGGACGGTGGTGAAAGATTAGAAAGGTGTTAAGATTGGGGTGTATCTGTTGCTCTTGTCATTTTTCTCTTTCAATTTGGTTTTCTGCTGCTTATTTGCATTGTAGTCAGTGGGGTAGCAAAAAGAGAAGAGGCAACATAACGAATGCCATTGGGACAGGGTGTGTCAGGTAGGTCACGTGTAGGAGACAGATCCTGGAGCAGCTAGGTTTTCAGATAAGTGGTATTTGTCTAGTACCTCTAAATACTGCTCTTCCTTACCATGGTTGGGAAACATCAAATATGTTAACTGGATTAAATAACCTTGAAAATATTTTCCAAAACCATAATACTCTACCTTCTAGTCCTATGCTGAAATAATCAGGTCATTAAACACAGATCACAGGCATGTTGACACATAGCGTCCTCCAAATATTATTCATGCTTAACCAGAACCTATAAACGTGACCTTATTTGGAAACAGGATCTTTGCTGATATAATCAAGAGGAGGTCATACTGAATTGCAATGGACCCTAAATTCAATATGAATGGTGTCCTTATAAAAAGGGGAAACTTGGGTGGCTCAGTGGGTTAAGCCTCTGCTTTCAGCTCAGGTCATGATCTCAGGGTCCTGGGATCGAGCCCCACATCGGACTCTCTGCTCCGCGAGGAGCCTGCTTCCTCCTCTCTCTCTCTCTCTCTCTACCTGTCTTTCTGCCTACTTGTGATCTCTGTCTGCCAAAAAAAAAAAAAAAAAAAAAGGGTGGGGGGACTTTGCCATATGAAGATGGATGCAGGAATTGGGAGCTATGTTGCCATAAGCCAAGGTACACCTGGGGCCACCACAGGCTGGAAAAGGGCAAAAGAGGGTCCTCCTCAAGAGGCTTCAGTGGGAACATGGCCTTGTCTGCATCCTGATTATGGAGCTCCAGCCTCCAAAACAGTGAGAGAATACATTTTGTTTTGAGCTCCCTGGTTTTTGGCAATTTGTTATGGCAGCTCTAGGAAGCAAACAGTTGGAGAGTTAGATCACTTGTTTGGGGCTGACTAGCATTAACACAGAGCACACCGTGAATGTTAAGTAAATATCCATTTTCCTTCCTCTTCTGAGGGTCACCACCATTTTTCTGGTGGTTTAGGAGTCATCCACACACCCACCCATTTAGGTAAATCTCTGTCCCCAGGATTGTTTAACAGGGGAGGCAGCCAAGGCGCCACAAAGTTAAATCTGCCCAAGATCAGAGAGTTAAGAACAGAGGAGTCAGAGCCCAAACTCAGCTGTCTCATCCCCAAGATGGTACCACGCCCAGGAACACCTGCCTCTCACACCTGCAGCGTTGAAGCGAAGGAGAGGAGCTGCCAAGCTGTGTTTTCAACGCCTGCAATTAAAACTCACATTTATTAACAAAATTCCAAGTTGCAGGCACCTAGTATACCAATCTTCACCCCTTCCCAGAGGAACACAAAAATCTTATTCTAAGACCAATACTATCAATAAACTTGCCATCAACCCGATTGCTTCTATCAGCAGCGTTTCTGCTTCGCACATTACGTATTCCACCTCAAGGTATTACCATCAGATTGGACATGTACGGCTTTAATTTACTTAGACGCATTTTCCTCAAGCACTCCCCATTTCATTTTGAGGATACTGACTCATTCTTGCCACCTAAGGAGACCAAAAGAATACATACTCTAAGTACAGAGGAAAGGGTCTCTAAACTTCATAGTCACAGATGTCCATCCTTTAAATGATAAAGTAAAAAATAAAAGCATGTTCTAAATTTACCTTCTCTCCTTAACTCAGGGAGTTGTGCTGAATATAACAGATATAGAACTACAAGGCGGCAGAGCTGTTATTCTGGGGTGCCAGTTTCATAGACTTCTAGTGCAGGAGGGGCTTTTCAAGAGTGTCTTGTCCATCTGGACTCAGGTGAGAGACATTGTATCTACATACCACCAAACCCCAGAAGAGAAAAGGGACATGCTGAGAGATTTTGTGAGTTATCTAAGACTCCATGGTTATTTCTTGGTAGAACCCCGTACAAAGCCAGGTTTCCCAATTTCCCCAAAAGCGTATTTAACCTCCCAAACTGTCACCAGCTATTAAAGATAACACTTTCTCCTGGCTTCCTGCCAACTTCTCTATTAATTTGACCTTAAAAAAAAAAAAAGAAAAAAAAAAAAAAACACCACAGGCAGCCCCACCGGTTCAAATTCCCTTAACGGATACCTAATGTTGAATTAACTTGAGTCCCATGTTTAAACCTCCAGCTACACACACATGGGTTCGAGAAGGGCAAATACGCTTCTCCAAACCGGGCACAGATGATCTTTAGACTTTTCAAGTTTACCCTCCAGGAGGCCGACATCACACGCGATTTTGACAAGAGTTTGGAACCGAGATCCTCTTCCACGCTCTGCCCACACCCGTGCCCACGAGCAGAAGTTCTCTCTCCATTACAACCCACCACGCGCACGCACACACATACACACACATACACACCAAGGCAAGTAACAAAGGAAAACACAGCCCCATAAAGGTTCAGCTATTACATCTTCCAGTCCACACCTGCCAAGAGACAAAAACCATACGGAAATCCTGCCCTGGCAATGTGTGCAACACGCCTGGGGAGAAACACCCTGGCTCCCCCCTGGGCGTGCGCGGCTGTATACACAAAGAACCGGTGCGGGGCTTGCTAGCGGTCCGGGGGACCAGCGCACTCCCAAAACTGGTATCCGGGGGTCTCCCCCTCGCCCTCTCGCCCGGCAGAAAGGAACTATCCTTTATTTGACCCGCAGAGAGCCCAGGCTGGATGGCAGCGCATGGGGGGTGGGGGCGGTCCCCGGATCCCTGCCCTGCAGCCCGCCGGTCCCCAGCCTCTGGCATCTCCTAGGCGATGCACAATCGCGCGCTGTCAGATGCCCGCTTCGCATCCTCCGCCGGCGAAGCGAGATGCCCGGGGTCCCAGCCTGGCACATCCCCCCAAGCGCCCCTCCCCGCGCGGCTACCCACCCAGGAAGCCCAGCCTGGCGCGCCTGCCTACCTGGCGGCTGGCTGTCAGCGCAGCGGCGGCGCCTCCTCCGCTTCCCCTCCGCGGCTGCTACATCGCTCGGAGCGCCATGTTCCCGGTCTCCGCGGGCGCACGCCGGGCAACTACTACAGGCTGGGTAGGGGCAAGGGGGGCGGGGGCCAGAGGGAGGGGGTGGGAGGCAGAGCCGCAGCTTTCTACTCTCCACCCAAGCCTCCCCCAGCTACTGAGCATGCCCAGCTGCCCGGCTTCGCCCCTAGGAGGACTTTCCACGAGCGCACGCAGCTGTTCCGGGTTTTCGCGGCAGCCGGCGGGAGGCAGGCAGTAGCAGCTGCGGTGGGGGGGGGGGGGAGTCGGGGGGAGTGTCTCCACTCTGCGGAGCCCGGAGCCGGGAGAAAGCAGCCCCTTGCCAAGCCAGTTACCCAGCTGCCCTACCCCGGCGCCGGGGCAGCTCCTGCACGCCCCCTCCGCACACACTCGGGGTTCGCAGAAATTTTGTGCAAGACCAATGCGGGGCTGAGCTTTGCTAAAGAGGAGAGCAAAGGGGGGGAGGAGGCGGGGCTGAGAGGCAGATCCCTCCGCTAACCCTCTTGCTACCACCTGGACCTGTGCTTCTCAAACTTCAACGTGCCATAGGATTAAAATGCAAATTCAGAGTCACTGGGTTTGTCCAGCTGCCTCAGGTTCTACAAGCTAAACAAGCTGTTAGGTGATGCTGTTGCCCATGGTCCTCTGACCACACTGAGCAGCAGGAATCTAGAGAACACCCCCTATGACCTTTGTGTGGCCATCCTTCAATATGCCAGCCCGGAAATGGTCTGTGGCATCACAGAGGCTCCTTCTGCCTAGAGAGGGTGCCTTGGCTAGTAAGTAAAGGTCCTGCAGCGCGCGCGCACACACACTCACACACACACACACACACACACACACACACACAACTGGGTTGCTGTGCAGTCCTGATAGAAATCACACTAGGGCTGGCTCTGTGCACCCAGCACCAACTAGCTACTTTCTGACTTAGAAGTTGAGGGTTAGGGGAACAATGGGTTCCCAGACCTCTCCATGCTCATTTTGCTAGTTGGCTAGCGAACTAGTTGCTGCTTGAGCTGCTCTCCTGAAGTCTGAACCAGTCTCCCTTGGCTTTCTTGAGCTAGGACAAAAATTCAGTCTGGGCATCCAAGTGCCGAATTTATTACACAAGCCATGATAAGGCTGGGCTTGCCCAATTAAGAAAACTGACAGATTGTGACAAAGGAGGACGTTTATATACCAAGAGATTACAGGGCTTTCTGATGAGTGATGTTTGGGCTGAAGCTTGCAATGGTATCTTGTGGTTCATATTAAATCCCCTAGTTGTCCACTCTCTTCCCAGCTTCTGAAGGCTCACACAATGTCAAGAATATTCACTGTCCTTGCCATAGTGAGAGAGAGACATTCACAAAACCAGTCATGAGTTTCCAACCTTGGAAATGAAGAAGTTCTACCCTTGTCTGTCCTTAGCTGCCCCAACAATATTGTCATGAGTTACTGATACGGTATCTGATTCCATAACTGCACAGCAAATTAAAAAGAAGGGTTTGTAACCATCTGTACCCTATTATACTCAATAACTCAACTCTAAACAGTTTTATAGTTAATGGTACAGTATTTATCATTTCTCTCTTGTTTTCCATTCCTTCAGTACCCTCAATACAGTAGCTGTAGTATCAAAGCAGGAACCATAGGATAAATGAGTAATTACTTTTCTCCCTCAATACTCCTATGTACAAAGGCTAAATATGTCCTGGTATATCAGCCTTGTTTTTCTGTTTAAAGGAATAGGAATCTCTAAGTCTACCTCTTTATTTTCTAAGCCACACATATAGGCCTAACTATATACCCACCACTCCTACTCCCACCATTATTTGCATAAATATTTTCTATTTTTGACCTTCTTGTGTGTGCTTGCACAGATGCAAGAACTAGAAAATATTTTCATAGAGGTCTTCTTCGTGATTGCTATCAATTAGAATTTTGCTTTGAAATACTGAATTTTAATCACAGGAAAAAAATCTTACCTGTTAAACAAAGCTTGCATTTGCGTGGTTGTTTAAGTGATTACATACCATGATTATTCATAGTTGTCTTTAAATTCATTTAGGAGTTATGCAAGGTAAACTTTATAAATGAATAATAATACTATTTCTGGACATACTGCATTGCATTAAGATCTAGGGAGTTTCTTTTTATATAGTATCATTTCTTGAGAGTTTGTTAATTAAGGACCAAGAGGTATGGGTGGGAAGTGCAGGAAGCAGGAATGGACAGAGGTAGAAGTCAAGTTATGATGCAGGCCGATGAGTCTTGGTCAGTCACCCAGGGAGCTCTGGAGCTAGGATGACCCTTCAGAGTAGTCGAGAGTTGGTTTGAGTTGTCCGGTCCTTTATATACAAACATTAATCAATTGCCTGTATTGGAATGGGCATGAACTTGAAAATGAAGCAGCTCTCTGAAGCCAAGGCAGTCCCTAAAGGAGAGAACACCTGAAGGCCATCGGCCATCAGTAATCCCTGCAACTGGGATAACAGGTCTTTCACCTAAGAGGGATTTGGGTAGAACATTACTTTGTCCACCACATTAAGAATGATCAGATATAACACTTTTGAATACACGAAGTAGGACTGTATCAATTTGTCAGAGGGATTTAAAAACTTTATTTTTAAATAAGTAATAGACTTTTTCCATGGCTCAGAAATTTAACATTTGGAAAATAACCTATAAGCAGCGATTGGGAGTTGTTGGAGGCAGTCACTGAAAGGACGTGACTTTTAATTAAACCACAATCTGGACCTGGGCAATCAGAGACTCCTTGCCCCTGAATGTACATTCAGCCCATGGTTCCCACCGTAGTAGCCAGTTTCAAGGACACAACCTTAGAGGGTAATGTATTGTTGGGTCCACCTGCTGAATATGTGACTTAACCCAGTTAAGGCCTCTGTAAACTTCTAAGATTCTGGTGCGTATGTGTGGAGATCTGCTTATCTTGCGCCAGTTAAGACAAGCCTCACATGTAAATTCTCTTGCTTATTAAAATTGCTGCCTCCAATCTGGAGTGGCCTCTTCCTTTGTTCTCTCCTTGCCCTCTATGTGTGGGGACCAGTTTCAGATTTCACCCAGGAAGCTCCCGAGTTTACAAACCAACAAGAGTACATTTCTTTCTCTCTATTTTTAGAGACATATTTATTTATTCGGGGGTGGGGTGGGGGAGAGCACATGTGAGTGGAGCAGGGAGGGAGCAGAGGGATAGGGGGAGAATCTCAAGTAGACTCCTCCCTGAGCACAGAGTCCAACTCAGGACTCAATCCCAAGACCCATGAGATCTTGAAATCAAGAGTCTGTTGCTTAATTGACTGAGCCACCAGGCACCTAGAAATAGATTTTCTATTTAGTTATCTGGCTCCATACATCTTTTATGTGTGAAGTGATGAATTATGACCTCCTGAGCTGACATGTATTCATTCCTTAACATTTAAGACATGATTTTATCCACTATCAAAATCTGTATTTGTGCTTTGTAATTTCTGAGGGGGGAGATAGCAGTTAAATAGTAATTAGAAATGTGCATTTTTCAATACAATAAAGTTACCTGCTAGTGAATATTTCATGAGAAATTAATCCCAACCAGCCTTATTAACACAAACAGTGAAAAGATATATATGAGCGGTGGAGAACTTTGGTAGATTGTTTAAGACCACACTGCGGAGTCAAGATTCAGACTAACCCCAGCTTACATTCCCTCTCAGCCATGCTATTCATCAGCAAATAGCTAGAATCCCTCAAGATTCATCACAATTACAAAGGAACCAGCATGGATTCCAGAAAGAAACAGGACACTTGCTCAGATAAGAGGGGAGAGGCACGACAGGGGTTGGAAATGAATGTTTCAAGAAGCAGAAACAAAAAGCATAAGAGAAAAATTCACCTGAAGGAGAATTACCCCCAGGAAACAGAACAAAAGATCAGATAAAAATTTCTCCAAAGTTCTAAAAAGGTAAAGATTATATGATATGACAAAAAAATTTTTTTTCTTAAAGAAATACAAGGATTTAAAGAAGAAAAAATCTGACCAGAAATGAAAGGGACCCTGGCAGAGTTTTGGCAGGGGTGGGCGTGGGGGAGAGGGAGAAGTCATTAAACAACTCAAAAGGTAAAAGAATAGGAAATGAGAATAAACACAACTGAAATCCAGTGATAGACAGAACTAGCTACCAAAAAAAAAAAAAAAAGGTATAAAACCCTGTAGGAAAATTATATGGAAGTCAAACAAAGGAGATCCAACATATGTACATATAAAGGATTGCACCAATCTGCAAGAGCTCCTAACTCCATATTTGGTAACAACACTGATAGCTTGAAATCAACCATTGTGGGAGACTTTACAGCATAGAAATTGACAAACAGTACATATCAGAAAATTTTAGTCGTTTTCATTTACCAGCATACCAGCCACTTTTTACAACCTGTGTTGTTAAAAGCAACAACAACAAAGCAGAATAAAATGGAATAGAAAAATTAATCAAAGATATTATAGAAGTTAAGTTCTTGAAATAGAGTCTTAAATTTTCTGAACAAAAGGACATAGTTAAAATATACTCTGGTGGAGGTATAGAATTTCAAAGACAAATAATCTTTGGTGCATCCAGGCAGAAAAGGCAATTTACATACAAGAAAAAGAAAATCAGGCTGCATTTTGATTGCTTCACAGTGTCGTACAATGCCTAGGGGAATGTTCTGAGTGAAAAAAACAGTGACCCAAGGATGTCTGTTTCGCCTAGCCAGTCTGTTCTTCAGCTTTTCAAGATAGCAGTTAATTGTTCTCAAACAACAAATCAGGGTATATAGCACACTTAAACCTTGAAAAACAAATCCTACTTGACCATGACATTGACTCACCCAAGAAATAAATTTAAAAAACAATTCCTAAGAATAATGAAACCATGGTCAAATGTGATGAGGAGGATTATATCTGTTTTTAAATACATCTGAGACTAAAAACTATGTGTTTGGGAGCTTTAAAACAGAACAAATATTACAACCTTGACAATATAAATGTTTTTGTGTAATTTACTAAGTTCTGCAGATAGAGAGAGGGGAGTTCTGAGGAGATTTAAAGACCATGGTTTCC